AAACAGTTACAACTTTTAAATCTTAATAACGCATCAGTTAATGTTGAAATCAACATTAACTAAGCTTAATAAATGCTTTAGAAATAATGAAACAAACATACAAAACTCATGAAATACAAACAGAACAAATGTATGTGTAATTCACATGAACAATTCATAAATTCGATACATACATTTTTTACAAGTATGGCTTTAATTTATACAGAAATTTGATCTGCTGGATTAATTTATTTCTCCATTTCAATGCACAAATGCAATTTTCCTATATAGTCCATAAACAAATTAGGAAAACATTGTGTCAGAATGTGTGTGGAAAATAAATAACTTTTTTTTTAATATTCCAAATACAGAAGCCGTTTCCTTTACAGCTGTTTGTACTTACAGATTGTTATTGCTAGTATTTAATAATAGTAACACGTAATATGTATACTTCAGCATGTTGATGGACAAATGGCTTTATTCTTCGGAATACAAAAAGAACAGATTGTAATGCCTTTATTTGCTATCAAATCAAATCAATACGATCAATGTATACACAGATTGCATCTGTACACAAACATCAAATATTATTATTAATATTATTATGGTTTGAAATAACTGTCTTCTATGTGTTTTCTATGTGTTTTAGAATTATAACTTTCAGCTGCCAAAATTGTATTTCTTGAAAGTCACTGTACATTTGCAAGTCCTATTTTGCTGTTAAAAACTGCCATACATAAACCCATTTCGGTAACACTTTAGATTAGGGAACACATATTCACTATCAACTAAGAGTTTTCCCTCAATAAACTCTTAATTACTGCTTATTAATAGTTAGTATGGTAGTAGTTAAGTTCAGGTATGGGGTAGAATTAAGGGGTCTAGAATATGGTCATGCTGAATAAGGCATTAATATGTGCTTTATAAATACTAATAAACAGCTAATATGCTAGTAATATGCATGCTAGTAAGCAACTAGTTAATAGTAAGAACTGATCTTTAAAATAAAGTGTTACCCACATTTCCCTAAACATTCATCAGCCTCTTTTGAAAAATAAATACTATCCTATGCACTTTTGCCTGAAGTAAACTGGGTCTATGAATGGCAAACAGGTGAAAAAGCTTACATAATGCAATGAGAAACATGAGAAATATTAGCATTCAAAGAGATACAAGAGCATATTCAAAAGTACAAATAAGCATTATGTAGTAATATGCTAAATAAAATAATTAAAACTCTGGATTTGTGTGTAATTTTTTTTAAATAAATGGATTTAAGGTTAGTCATTAATTTTAGCTGTACAAAATGGGAAATTACTATACATCCAGCTCATCAGACCAACTTTTCATATAGAAGAAAGATGAAACTTGCCTGTAGTAGAGCCTTGCTGTGGAAGTTGCAATGTACCATGTACCATGTCTGGGTCCATTCTATAAGGTTCTAAATTAGGATTAGGCCATTTTAGTGTTCCAGTTATGTTCTTTTAGTTCCCATTCAGTCAGTAGTCATTGGCTTGTTTAGTTAACACTCGAAGGTGATTGGGCTCTCGGGCGAGATCCCAATTCGTCAGTCACTGACGTAACGTCTCCGTTCCCTCCTTCAGGGAACGAGGGTTACACAAGTAACCTAGACGTTCCCTATCGATACTTCACTCGTACTGCGTCTGCTAAGACGCTATGGGAAAACTCCTTTTTCTCCAATGACTGAAGCCTTTTCAATAACACAGTGTAACTGCACAGCCATTGGTTCATGCAGTAAATTAAAAACAAACCAATGGCTCGGCAGCATGAATATGGGCGGGGCCATCTGGCTATATAAGCAGGCATGAAAAATTGAAATCGCATCATATGACCCCTTTAAAAGAGTAAATTTAGTGGTGTTGTTGCAAATGACGCCCTGTTTCTGTTACTCCTGACCGCCGCTGACGGTCACGGTGAGTGCATCTCATGCTTGGGGAAATCCCACGCTGAGGATGTGCTCAAGGAGACGGAATGTCCTCATTGCGAGGATATGAGTATCTCCTCTCTGCGCTCTAGGAAAAAAGTAGCAGGGCAGAGGACCTTGGCGCCCGGAGATGAGCGAGCTCACGCCTGCCTCACTCTCTCCGAATAGAGAGGCTTCCTCCGTCCTCTTCTTCCAGCCAGAACAGCATCTCTCCATGGCTGTGAGCGACCTGGTCTCGTTAGGTGGGAGTGAGTGTGACGCACTTGATGACAGCATTTCGTTGGTGGCTTCGGACACAGAGGAGCTGTTGGGCTCGATCAATGACCCCGTCCCCCTGCCACCTACGGAGCACAGTGAGCCCAAGCTAGGCATGGACGCCGAGCTGATCTGTGTCCTGTCTAAAGCTGTGGAGGAGCTAGGACTGGAGTGGTCTCCACCAGAAGAGCCCACTCACAGCCGCCTGGATGAGAGGTTCTTGCCAGGGAGCCGTCAGGCCCCTCGTCAGGCCCTGCAAAATTACTTATCCTTCTGGGTCCCTTGTGGTGCTTAAGGCAAGTATGAGCCGTTCCTCTAAGCATAGCATGACTGGATTGTTCTGGTTCCCCATACCGTCTTAGCAGACGCAGTAAGAGTGAAGTATTGATAAGGATCGTACTTGGTTACAAATGTAACCTCGGTTCCCTGAGATACAGAAACTAGTACTGTGTAACTAGCCGTGCTATGTAGCTGCATGACTCAGTCATCGCTTCAGTCGAAGTAACCTGAGAATCCTATGGCAACATGCCCGCTTATATAGCCAGATGGCCCCGCCCATATTGGCGGGCTCTGGCGGACTTCATCGCAATAGGCTCATGCAGCTCCACTTCCGAGCCATTGGTTCGTTTTTAATTTACTGCACAAACCAATGGCCGTGCAGTTACACTGCTTACTGAAAAGGCTGCAGTCATTGGAGAAAAGGGAGTTTTCCAATAGCGTCCTAGCAGACGCAGTACTCGTTCCTATATCTCAGGGAACGGAGGTCAAGTTTGTAACCGAGTATGTTTCATTATCATAGATTTTTAGTTTGTTTCTCATCACTTTCCTGTTTCCTTTGTTCTAGTAGTTATAGCAGATCAACCTCAGTTCTGAATCTGAGTCCTGTCAAGGAAAGGAAGGACTGCAACAGATCACAGAGCCTCGGGCCCGTGAGGAAAGAGGCAATAACAGATACAAAATCCTGAGTCTCCAGCTTCGAGGCAGCAACAGATATGACCACGTTTTGAGCCTCCAGCCTGCAAGGAAAGAAATAATCTATGCTCAGACTTCATTAAGTGTCCTCATCCAGCGAGATAACAACAGATGCAGCACATCTTGAGTCTCCATCCTAGAGAGACAAAGCAGATTGACCAAATTCGGAGTCTCTAGCCCAGAGAGGCAGAAGACACACAGACATCTGCAACAAGGTTAAGCTCCGGCGAGCAAACCTTAACTCCAAGGTACCTTTGCTTGCGTGTTCCAGGCTAAGGACCTTCTGCACCTACTCCAGGGCCACATCTGCGTGTTCCAGATTTTAGGACCATTTTGTGCTCTAGGAGTTCAGCATCCTCCAGCACTTCGTGTTCAAGGCTGTCGAAACGGATTCCTGCTCCTTTCCCCACTGCATTGTTACCAGCACAACCAGTGGATGAAGTCACCGCTACCGGACTGCTAGCTAAACCCATCTATGCATTGACTCTCAGATCCCTTGTTTGCAGATTCCCATGTCATTCAACAAAATTGTAACAAGGTCTGTATCTCACTATATTCAAAACTCAAGTATAGGGTCATGTCATGAGAATGCTGGAAGCACTTATCCAGACCTAAGAGCAATTTGGGGTCACCATTTTACCTATCCCCCATGTCTTTGGATTGTGGGGGAAACCAAAGCACATTTGCAATCACATTTACACATTTTAAGTGTTACATAATTGTCCAGATATGGCCACTGTAGATATCAATAATATATTAATACTAACTAGAATCAGTTTAGTGTCAGGGCATGACTGGCAATGTCTGAGCAATAGCAAATTGTGTCTTTAAAGCTGACATCTAGATAAAGAAAATGCAGAGGAGCTCTGCCCAAAGATTTGCCCCCTGTGCTGTAATTCTGGCCCATTCTGAGGAGACCTTCTTTTATTTGGCTTCACCCTTTCCAACCTCTTTAGCCCTGCACAGAGAACTCCTGTTGAGAAAAAATGTCACAGAATAAAGCCTTGCCCACACTAGATGTCCAATTAGTTCTCAGAGCAAAACACAATTAAAAGATCTTCTGTTCATTTTTTTTTCCCATTTTCACAGTGCCAGTTTTGACTGGAAATTGTCAAGACCCAAGATGTTTTGAGGATTGGCCATTTTTTAACCCTTGATGAGTTCATAAACACCATGACCTATTCATCATCTCTTATGACTGACATATTGGATACAAGCTCAGGCATGCCGAGGGCCATGGTTACCAAGACTACAATGGCTGGTGAGACGGACCATAGTCGAATCCTTCTGTGCGGCTAAAAAAAACGCCTTGGGATTTACATGACTCTTTGAGTGACAAAGATTGTAGGCTGTTGTCTTTCTAACAAAAGTTCACTTCATTAGGATTCGAGCAGCAGAGCCACTCAATTTGGATATGTATTTATCACAGCTTCACTTCAGTTTTCAAGTTGCCGTTTTAGCTTGCCTGTATAGTGGAGCCATGCTGCAGAGGTTGAAAACCCTCTACATTCATGCCAGGTCCATTCTATGAGGGTATAAATTAGGATTAGGCCATTTTAGATTGGTAAAAAGAAGCCTAACAATAAAATCCAGCTATCCGCTGAGTTTTCTATGAGCATCTGTAGAGAATCATTTCTGCACGCCCTGTGTAATGCACGGCTCTCAGATCCCTTGTTTGCAGAATCACATGCTTGTTATTCTTTGTCCAAAGTTTAATCTCCCTCATAGCTTGCCTACCCATAAATCCTTGTGGATTTGTTGTGGTCAGACACCCCCCCCCCCCCCCCCCCCCCCTCAAGAACTTCCCCTGTTCTCTTATTGGCTGTTTTCAGTCTTTTGGGTGTATGTGCAAGCTTTATATAGTGTGCTGCCTCATGCATTGAGCAATAAAAACGTGTGACTACAGTTTGGGTAAGCGTGCCATGTTTTTGCTCATTTATAGCTGCTTAGTAAGTAAAACTGTTTTGTTTACGCATTTTTGATCTTGGTTTTGTCTGTGCTGTACTAGAAAAATGTAATATTTAAGCTGGCTTTCAAATGAAAAGTTAATTGCACATCTGGAAAAGATTCTTGAATAAATAATGTTGGTAAAACTTTACAATAAGGTTCATTAGTTAAACATTTAATGTATTAACTAACATGAACTAACCATGAGCAATACATTTGTTACTGTATTTACTAATCTACGCTCACGTTAGTTAATAAAAATACAGATGTTAATTGTTAGTTCATGTTAGTTCACAGTGCATTAACTAATGTTAACAAGATTTTAATAATGTATTAGTAAATGTTGAAATTAACATTAACAAAGATTAATAAACGCTGTATAAGTGCAGTTCATTATTAGTTCATGTTAACTAATGTAGTTAACTAATGAACCTTATTGTAAAGTGTTACCATAATGTTTTGATAAAACTATGTATGTCATTCCAGTGCAAGTTATTGGCAGTAAAATGACTCCATTAGGACTCATCTTGGTCTCATCAGCACTGCTGGCTGGGGTCTACGCTGCAGGTAACGTCATTACATACTGTAATATCAAACATTGTGAGACTAGTATTAGGTGAATGCATAGCCATTTAAAAATTGTGTTTTTAAGATAAAGCTTTTTGCTTAGCCTTATAAATGAACCTTGTGAAGCTCATACATTGCTTGTATGCATTTTTATCCATTCCTGATATTTTGCTGCATACAGAAATTTGACTTTTCATACCGGTAGTCAGATATGGGCAGTATTTTAATGAAATGTATTTAAAAAAAAATTTTTTTTAGTATTTTGTCATTTGTATTTTGCTGTACAAAAAACAAATCTAATGTCATTTGTAATTAAATACTTTGAGAGACAGTATTGTGTATTTTAAATACTTAAAATACTTAACCAAGTAGGTCATTTTATTCTCAGATTGTACAATATCTTTCTTCACCTGTGTTAATAGTACTGCCTTCTATAATAGCCTATCACAGTTTTTGGCTAGATGCAAGTGAATCATATGACATCCTGTTGGATCAATAGGCGGAGTCTTAAAGGGTTAGTTCACCCAAAAATGAAAATTATTTTGTTAATTACTCACACTCGTGTCGTTCCACTCCTATAATACCTTTGTTCGTCTTCGGAACACAAATAAAGATATTTTTGATGAAATCCGAGAGCTTTCTGTCCCTCTACAGCCAGCCATTCAACTTACACATTCAAGGTCCAGAACAGTAGAAAAGACATAATCAAGTAATCCAATTTTATGAAACGATTTTTTGCTAAAAAAAAAAACATAATTTACCAATTTATTTACGAAAATATTATCCAAACACTTGCGTCATGGTACTCTAGTGAACACTCACTCATGTGCATTGTGTTGACACACGAGTCTTCTATCGTGTGAACACAAAACAAATTTGTTGTGATGCTCTCATGAACACACAATGTAGTAGTGTTAATTTTGTCAGACATTTTTGATTTAGTCTTAGTCTTTTAAATTAGTCTCAGTCTTAGTCCTGTGTCAAATGTACTTTTTAGTTATTATCCTTAGTCAACGCTGTCCTGGTTTTGTTTAGTCTAGTTTTATTCAATTAAAACTTAGTCACAGTTTAACTTTAAACATTAGTTTAATATATATTGCAGTTGTGGACTAATGGTTAGAGAGTTGGATTTGTAACCCAAAGGTCGTGGGTTTGAGTCTCGGTACTGGCAGGGATTGTAGGTGGGGGGAGTGAGTGATCAGCACTCTATTCCACCCTCAATACCACGACTGAGGTAAGACCCTTGAGCAAGGCACTGAACCCCCAACTGCTCCCTGGGCACCACAGCACATGACGTGTGTGTGTACTTGGATGGGTGAAATGCAGAGCGCATACTTGGCTACATGTCACTTATTATTTTATTTTTTTATTTAAAAGTATAGCTTAAAATTATAATCGCAATGATTGTTGTCATTTGAGACATTTATTTTTACCTTATTGTACTTTCACCAATAAGCACAAATCAACAGAATGTGGACTCATACACATGGTTTATTTTACCTCATCTAGTGTACTTATTTATTATAGGCTAATTCATATATACATGTATATCAAAGACTTAGATATGCACTCTCTCTGTCTACATTATGAAAACTGGTAAAAACAAACAAAAAATATTTTAACAGTGACATTCCTGATAGTAATTCCAATAATTCCAAGTTGCAACAACGTTTCTCTATTAAAACAACTGCGGTTGAGTAAGTGCATTTATACATTCGCAAACAAAATAGTCAAGATCACAGACTGGCTGAATGACACTTTCATTTAAGCTGATTTCACATGGAGATCGCTAAACTCCAGCTTAAGCAAAGTTCACACTACAGGACTTAGACTTGCAAGTCAACGAGCTCGCCGACAGGTCGGGTTGTGATCAGGAGAATATCAGTGGGTGATCAGCGCTCGGCAATCTTTATGTGTAAACTACTCAGTGACGCATCAAAGAGGCTCGCTGATGCATCGCCGACACAAAACAAATATCCAATATGCTAATGCTGCATTCACACCATCCATTTTCAAATAAACAACGAACTTGCAATAATATTTTGTCTCATTTTTTTGACAAAAATAAAAAGAGATTTTGGTATAGTTAAAATTGTTAAATACATTTTAGTCTTGTCTTTTATCGTCAACGATATTGCATGTTGATACAGTCACAGTTATCGTTTATTAACCTTATTGTCATCTCATCAGCGTCTCATTTAAGTCATGGGAAAAAGCTTGTCAACAAACATTTTTCGTCAACGAAATTAACACTATGATGCAATCAATATTTTCATAAATAAAGTTGTAAATTATGTTTTTTTTTTTTGTGAAAACAAAGCACTTGCGTTGCTTAATAAAATTGAGGTTAAACCACTGAAGTCACAGGGAGTATTTTAACGATGTCTTTACTCAAATTCTGGGCTTTGAATATGTAAGTTGCGTTGCTGCCTATGGAGGGACTGAAAGCTCACAGATTTTATCAAAAATATCTTCATTTGTGTTCGGAAGAGGAACGAAGGTCTTATGCGTGTGAAACAACCGAGCACAAGCAATAAGTTGCTGACTGCAGCTCACTTAATGGCCACCGGTGTCGCTGATAACAAAGGTTTCTGAATTCTACATAGAGCCCTTTAGCAGCTACATATCAGCATTTTCAAGAGTTAATCTGTACTGCTGACAGTGAAATAGCTTGAGGCATCCTCTTGAGTAGGACAAGGCGGTATGGTAATACAGTTTCACAGGACTGCTTGATTTTTGACATGTTGATAAAGGAGCGATAAAGCAACATGAAACAATAAAGCGTAGACATGCTTGATGGTATTCAAGTAAAGTACAGTCAGTTGTGTCTTAAGTGAACATAAGAAATTAGAAGAAATATGTATCAATATATTGAATACTGTAACGGGGCTGACGAGACGTGAGACGTGTGGATCCATCTGCAGGCTTTATTCAAGAGACGTGGTAAACAGGCAGGGTCAAAACAATGGCAAACAGGTAAATGGTGGGCAAAACACAAGAATAGTCCCAGGGCTAGCGTAGGTCACCGATCAGCAGACAGAATCACAGGGGCGAGACGAGAGGGAGAAATCCAAGAAAACAGGCAAAGATCATAAACCACAAAAACAGGCAAGGCAAAACAAGGAAACCACGGAGACTCGGAAAGGGGTACAGGCTAAACAATACTCAGCAGAGAAAGGTGGTTAGAGTGGGTGTTATATAGTGAGTGAGGTGATTAGAAACAGCTGTGTGCAATGAGTGCAAATCAGTGCAGTGTGCAAATCGTGCAAAGAATGATGGGATATGTAGTCCGGGGTACTATGCAACAGTTTGAGTTGTGCGAGAGTCAATGTAATGGAAAGGGTGACCTCTGGTGGTGAATAAACGGAAGTCCATGGACCAAATTCATGACAAATACATTGTCTAGTATTAGGGTGAAAGAATATGTTGTTTATAAGTTGTTCAAGGAGGGGAAAGCACTTCTCTTTCTCTTATGTGTGTATCTAACTCCAGCATTGCTAAATGTAATGGCACTGTCTCTTGCACTTCAAATGATTGCTTGTAAATATTGTTTGTATTTTTGTATTTTCAAATTACAGATTACTTGTATTTTAATTAAATACATTTCTCACACCAGTACTTTGTATTTTAAATCAAATACATTTGATCAGCAAATATTTGTAATTTGTAACAATACTTTTTGATGTATTTGTGCCCATCTCTGCCTGCAGTCGTGAAAAAGTCCATCATATTGTTTGTGAAATTATCATATAAAGTCCTTTGTTTTGGCTCAACAAGTGTATTTTTATACAAGGATTTTAATGGTGAACAGGGTTTAACGGCGCCTATAACCAGACAGTCCATGGACGTGCCGTCTAAGGTTAAGACAAAGCAGGATGTAGATAGAGCCAATATTATTCTGACACGGCATGTTTGAGTCTGAGGCATGGCACTGCGCTGGCACTGTCTCAAGACATCCCGCCAGGCATGGAGCAGTCAGCATTCAAACCGGAGGACACTGCTGCTATTCACTACAATGAGTGTGATTAATCAATTAGCCACCGCTAACCAAGCAGTCACTAATGCGGGGCAGCCCATGACATGACTTCAGTATTGATGGCATGTACGTTTTTCATGGTTTGAATGGGAGGATGAGGGGTGTCAGTGATATGCTGTGACACTGATGGAGGCCTGCTGTGTGTCGCACAGATGAAACTCAGACAACAACACATTCTCACCAAAAACTGGCCAGGCTTATTCAAGATTGTTTAAGCAGTTTAACTCTAACTTTACATAGAAAACTAGATTAGATACAAATTCTTAATAAAATAAATTTTAAAACTACTGTTATCACTTACTTTTATGTCTTTCCAAACTTGGGTGACTTTCTTTCTTCCGTAGGTCCTAAAAAATTTTTTTTTACAAAATTTGGTTTTTCGTATTCTTTTCCATATAATTGCAGTGGACAGGGACTAAAGCTTAAAAAGCAACATAATAAAATGAAAATAGTCCATACAACTTGTGCATTATATTTTAAGGCTTCTGAAATCATTTTATAGCTTTCTGTGAGAAACACTTTTAAGTCAGATTTGTCAGTTTTTACTAAAAATCTTGGGCTGTTAACCAATGCAATCTGAATCATCAAATTTGTGAATTGGTGAATCGGTGAAAAGCCACAAATCAGGGTGACTTAATTTTTTTTTTAATTATGTTTAATAGCCAAAGGATCATACTCATTACCCATAATCTAAAAAGGGATCTACCAATCAGATAAATTGCTGTTACCGTGGTTACACAAATTGCGCCAAAAAAAGATGGTGTTCACTTATTCCCATGAGTTGTTGCAAATGACATAATTGAGTATACTCTCAAACAGACTACATATTTGTACACACTAGTATTAGTATTATATGTGTAAATGTGAAAACTATTCCTTTACTTCATCAAAGACATCTTAATTTAGGAATTCATGGAATGTCAGATTTAAAAAACCCTGAAAAAACAAGCAAAACATGGATGACATATTTGACACATTCAAGCAACAACACTTTGATTCATGATTAGATTCACATACACATTCATGCATCTTTCAGCATGTCTGCTGGTTAATGTGAACTGGTCTGCATTAAAAAAAGAGGATCAAAACAATAAAGAGAGCAACTTCCAAGTGGACTCAGATGCAGCAGCCAGAGGAGTGGGGCACTTTCCCATCATTTTGTAAGCGCTTTCTTTAGAGAGTCACTGGAACTTTCTCAAACTCTCACCGCATCCGTTCCGCTGCAGGAGGCAGTGCACACTCAAAAGCAAGCTTTTGTTTATTTCCAACGATCTCTTTTAAAGTCTCATTTTGTCAGTGCAAGATTAGTGGCCATGAGGCGACCGTTTCACCATCTCTCTGTAGCACAAGTGGGACATTGTCTGCATCTGCTAAATTTGGGAATATTAGTGGTTGTTTGAAGAAGAGTGCAAAGTACATCCCAGCATGACAGAATGCTTCATTAGCAACCAGGAATGCCGTCCAAGTGCTCTGCCCTTGTCAAATTGAGACAAGCAGCGTTTTTTCCCTGGTCCTGTTTCTAGAAATTGGATTAGCTCACCAAAAAAACCCTAACATTTAACAGCCAATTAGAGACAAGAAGAAAATCATATTGTGTCATAAAAATGTAGAATTATTAGTGAGGTTTACTAAGTCAAGCATCACTTTTATTACCACTCATACTTAGGGTTAAGGATTTGTTCAAATCAGTGACCCTAATATTAAAGGGATAGTTCACCCAAAAATGAAAATTCTGTCATGATTTACTCGACCTCAAGTTGTTCCAAACCTGTATGAGTTTCTTTCTTCTGCTGAACATAAAATATTTTAAAGAATGCTGGGTAACACTTTATTTTAAGGTGTCCTTGTTACACAGGTTACATGTACTTACTATTATAATAACAATTAATTATGCATAATTACATGCAAGTAACCCTAAGCCAAACCCAAATCCTAACCCTAACCATATAGTAAGTACATGTAATTAATTAATATTACTCAGCACTTATATGTATATTTACACTGTAACAAGGACACCATAAAATAAAGTATAACCAAATGCTGTATCCAAACAGCTATTCGTCCCCATTGGCTTCCATTGTATTTTTTTCAATGCAGAAGTCAATGGGGACCAGCAACTCTTTGGTTTCCCACATTCTTCAAAAGAGTGAGCCAAGCATTCAATCTGATCTAGAGGTAGTGGAGGATTCTTATGGATTTGTTACTAGCTGAATGAAATGTTGTTTTGTATTTTAGGACCACAGGTATTAAGAGTTACAACCATCAAGGTAAGTTAAATTAATTCCATCTGGGCCATCCATTTATGTCTGTAATGATCTGTAACTAAATCACGTTTTCGGTTGTTACTTACTCACAATCCCATGCAGGAAGAACCATATGCAATGTCCAAAGGCTCTGAACTGGAGGGCTTCTGCATTGACCTGCTGTCAGCTGTCTCCAAGAAATTAGATTTTAAGTATGACATTAAGCTCGTTAAGGACAGCCGGTATGGAAAAACAGATGACAGCGGCAACTGGAACGGCATGATTGGAGAAATTGTCAGAGGGGTGAGTATCATAAGTATTTTGAGTTAAGTAGTTCAGTGTCAGTGTTTAATGTCATGTCATGTTGTAACTTGCAAATCATCATCTTCATACATCTTGTAATGCATGGTTTTGCTAATAAAGCACACAACAAGGATTCCACAAAAGGAGTCTTTTAATTAAAGATAAATCCGTAGGGAACAAACAGGTGATCGTAGGATGAGTAGCACAAACACTAAAGATAAACGAGATCAGACAGAAAACGAAGGAGAACTCAGGGCTTAAATAGACAAATGATGATGAATTGAAATAGAACAGGTGTGGAGAACTAATTAACAACCAAAACTAACTAGCAGGAACAAAGGCAAGCAGGAATGAGATAACCAAAAGGCAAAGAAACTAAACAGAGACAGTGACACATCTGTAGTATCTATTAGCTGTTTGACAACAATTAGAATATAGAATAATTATTTAAATGAATCATAAAATATATTACAAAATATGTATATTGTCAGGATCATGGACCTGTTTTGTTATGTTTTGCCCCTGTTTCTGTTCCTGTGTTCTAATTTTTGGTCATGTTCCTGTTCTCGTTTAGTTAATTAGTCATTCTGTGCACCTGTGTTAAGTAATTATCCCTTGTATTTAAGTTCCTGTTTGTTCAGTCTTCCTTTGACGGGTCTACTTGTTGTCATCCTTGTGCTCTGTGACTCCCTGTTGGATTATTAAAGACTGTTGTTTTTTGTGAAATCTCCACATCTCCTCATTTCTTCACGCCCCTGCTCCAGCGTATTGTGACATATATAAATTAGAATCTTAAACAAACAAACAAAATAAATCATATCAGTTTCATTTAATTTAAATACAATTCTGAAGATTTAATTTTTATGAAACATTATTTTTACTTATTTCTTTCTGCTATAATGTTGAAAAGTTTTGAAAGAAATACTTTTATTCAGCAAGGGTGCATTTGATTGATCAAAAGGGACAGTAAAAACATGTATAATGTAACCTTTTTTTATATATTAAGCATAACAATGTATATTGAGCAGCAAATCAGCATATTAGAATCATTTCTGAAGGATCATGTGACACAAGACTGGATAAATGATGCTGAAAATTAGAGTAAATAGACTTATAGATATTAATGATATTTGAAAATATTGTAACGGAAGAGGTCTGACGCAACAGGTTAGTATAAATCAAATAGGTTTATTTGGTCACAGAGAGTACTGGGGTAGGGTTCAGAGGATGTGATGGTGAGGGAATAGTTCGAAGGATATGATGAGCGGGGTAATCCGGGTCTTTGCAGGCAGGAGGAGCACACACCTCAGCAATCCAGGAACTAGGAGGAACAGGAGACACTTGGAGACGAGGAGACACTAGGAGGAACACAGGAGGTAAGTAATGCAGGAAGTATTCAAATGGAAGTAGTAGCAAAGTCATTGAGTCCTCTACGTGTATACGAGACCGGACAATGAGGGTGTCTGAGGTCTGTGCTTTTATGCAGGCTGGTTAATGAGGTGCTTGATTAGTGACAGGTGCAGGTGCTCAGAACTCAGGTGAGAGGGATCGTTGTGATTGGGTGGTGGTGGAGCCTGGCCGATCTGTTACAGTATCGGCAAGTACCAAAAATAAATTGAGACCAGTAGAAGGCTGTCGCAGGGAATTCTGGGCGTACTCAGCCCAGCCTAGGAACTGGTTCCAGGAATCCTGGTGGCCATGGCAGAAGGTCCGCAGAAATCGTCCCACCTCCTGAATCTTCCTCTCCGTTTGTCCATTTGATTGTGGGTGGTATCCGGACGAGAGGCTTACGGTTACACCTAGGAGTCTGAAGAAGGCATTCCATACTTTGGAGATAAACTGAGGGCCCCCGGGATCTGGATGGACTAGGAGTGGGGTGCTAGTGAAGGCTCTCTTGAGGGCGGAGAAAGCTTTTAGGGCCACGGGGTTCCAGGACAGAGACTTGGGTTTCCCTCGGAGTAGGTTAGTGAGGGGGCTGGTGATCATGCTGTAGTCGAGGATGAAGCGACGGTAGAAGTTGGCAAATCTGAGGAATCGTTGGAGTTCTTTGATAGTAGTGGGTTCTGGCCAGGAGGTTATGGCTTCCACCTTCCCCTCGTCCATCTGGATCCCGGTATGATCAATGTTATATCCCAGGAATTGTACCGTAGGTTGGTGGAAGGTGCACTTTTCAGCCTTGAGGAATAGGTGATGCTCTCTCAGGCGTTGGAGGACCTCCGCAACGTGCTGGCGATGTTCGGCCGGGCTCCGGGAGTAGATGAGGATGTCATCTATGTAGACAATAACGAATCGGTGGAGAAACTCCCGGAGCACCTCATGCATAAAATCCTGGAATACGGAGGGGGCGATAGCAAGTCCATAGGGCATGACCAGATACTCGTAGTGGCCAGTAGGGGCCACAAAGGCAGTCTTCCATTCATCCCCCTCACGTATCCAGATGAGGTTATAGGCACTGCGGAGGTCCAACTTAGTGAAGAGGGTAGCCCCCCGGAGATGCTCGAGGGCATTAGGGACGAGAGGAAGAGGATATCGGAACTTGATGGCTATGTTGTTGAGTGCTCGGTAATCTATACAGGGCCTCAAGCCTCCGTCCTTCTTGGCCACAAAGAAGAAGCTCGATGCAGCAGGGGAGTTAGATGGACGGATGTAACCTTGACCCAG